GTGGATAAAGTGTCAGCACAACAGTCAAGTGACGAAGATCACCGTACTGCTGTCATCACTCGTTGCTTTTTCAAGAGTCATACGACAGTTAAAACGCAAATACTCTCTTAACAACGTTGGTGTGATAATAGAAATATCTTCTATGTTAAATACAATAATAGTACATTACATTACTAGGGACGAAAGTCGATCTTTCCTCCCGGCGGAGTAATTGCCCCCGAGGCGAAGCCGAGGGGGGCAATCCACCCGGAAGGATAATATTGGGGTTATGCCTCTACCACGTGACCTCAGTATATATATGACTAATATAGAAGAGAACTAACACAGGTCTCATGAGAGGAATCTTGTTTTTTATTTTTTTTTCGCACTTAAAAAGATATTGAGCTTAAAAAGGTTGTTAATTCTATGTTACTGATATAATGAGAATGACGTAGTTATTTTTTTCGTTTGGTGAATTCGTTTATGAAGGTTGAAACAGCGTTATGAACGTATACGGAGTGCCGTTTAACCATACTTTGAGCTGTTTATTTCAGCTATTGCTGCTGCTGCGCTACTGCTGCTGATGCACAGAGATAAACGAACAGCTCAAAGTAGGGTTAAACGGCACTCCGTATACGTTTAAAACGCTGTTTCAACCCTCATAGACGAATTCACAAAACGAAAAAATCTACTACGTAATTTTCATTATGTCAGTAACATGGAATTAAGAACCTTTTTAAGCTCAATATCTTTTTAAGTGCGAAAAAAAAAAATAAAAACAAGATTCCTACCATAAGACCTGTGTTATTTCCCCTCTATATTAGTCATGTATATACTGAGGTCACGTGGTAGAGGCATAATCTCAATACTTTTTTCGCGAGTAATGTATACTATTTTTCGTACTACTTGGTCGAAACTTTGTAGCCGAATCATTCCTACTAGCTAAATTAATGCAAAGCATGCAGGATTTCATCGGCTGTAGAGTAAGTTCAGTATAGGGTTAGCAGCACTATCGCTCCCAGAGCAGGTCAACAGCTGAGATGGCGACTATACACATATGATACACAATGCGTCAATTTTACGATCACATGTTAGTTTTTTACATCGAATTAAAAGCGAAGGGTTTTTGCATTCGCTAACATTTACGTCCTGAGCGAAGCGAGGGTCGTTGGTTAGCGAATGCACAAAAACCCTGAGCAACAAAAAATACATGATCAAATAAATCAAATAATTTTATTNATTAAATTGACTTAATTTACAGTACTATATTTATATCTCAATAGTACATTTCTTTTGCATGTATCTTAAAAGTATTAAAAAAATTTTAAAAATGAGTATTCTCAGAGTTACAATAATACTTATTAATGTTTTCATTTATGGTACAATTTTTAAAAATAATATGAGAATCTTCATTAAAAACTGAGTGCACTTGAACTACAGCATTGATTAGAGTAGTGCTACTGCTACCAGTGCTACCTCACTTTCTCTACAGATGGCGCGCTGACAGGGAGGAAAGAAATATGAAAATATCTAGGGGTGGAACAAAGACTTTCGACGCATGGACACAGCGAGGGAAGTCAAAGTTTCGACCCAAGTAGGAAGAAAAAAAATTTGTTGAGTATGTCTTTCTTTATCTTCATCTCTGAGTCAGTTACCTTCTACAGTGCCGTTGCATTAAAGTTAGTTTGTGAGTGCCACCGTATTTTCCACTCTATTTCATTTGTTTTGTCTTGAATTAAGAATTGCTAAGCTAACCTCAAACGTATTACTTTATTGTTGTTTTCATCATATCTCGCTAAAAAGTAATGTAACATGGGTTCAAACTTTAAGGGCCTACTAAACTAATGTTTTTTTGTTTACTGTCGGAAAGTTATCCATATGTGTAATTTTCAACATTTTTCGTTGAATTTTCTTATCACTGTCCTATATAACTTATGTTAAACTGCTTTTCTATGCTTAAAAAATGCATGTGAGCTCAGGTTACTTGACTCTACCATACTTCCAAGTTTCATTAATTTCTGTAATTATTTACATAAACAGGGCAATGTTCTTAACTACAGCCATTTACTGTGCTGGTTTACTTTGTAAATATTATTACCATTTAAGTAACCAGAAAGCATTAATAAAACCACTTATATCTAACTGGCTGCCCTAAAGTGCTTTCACACACGTATACAAATTACACAGTTCACTTATCCCTCGATTAAGGGAGTTCTATCAGTTACAGAATTAACTATAAGAAATCGTTGAAAATTTATTTACAAATGAATAAAGTCATATCAATGGTGCTGTCGAAATTTGAAGGCACGAGGGTTCCTAGGAGCCGAGTAATTAATATTCATATTTAGCTAATTTTTATACGTAGGTTTATGAGCTGTCATCCTTTTAAGCGCTTCTATTGCATTTACCTCACTTATTAACAATGAACTTAAGATAAAAATTTTATCAATAATAAAAAAATATCTAATTATCGTCTTTAATTTTATTGGACATCTCGAGGGTCTTTGTAAGAGAATTTAATTAATGAGCGTACTAAAAACTACAAAAGGTTATGTTGTCGCAGAAGAGTGAGAAAGATAGACGACATACCAAACTATAGAGAGCTCGCATGGACTATAGTGAGGGATTGAACCTCCTTAACTCTGTCTGGAGACTTCCCACCCGCCTCTGTGCCTGTACCATGCAACCAGTTTCTCTTCCTTGTACAGATGCGTAGAAGGACACTGGTTTCGAGTGTTAACTCCGTTCTAAAAAAATTTTTTAATTTGTTTGAAGTAACAAAATATACCTAAATAATGGCCATACTTAAAGGAATCGTTAATAATATGCATACTTCATAAATGTGTAAGAGATCACTTTTGTTTAGAAAAAAGCTTCCGAACGGATAATATTTTTAAACATTAATATGTTTAATGCTCTTGAGTTCCTACGTAAAATAACTTGTCTGTAAAATAGTTATTACTATTTATGTATTTAAATCGATTAAGCAATCAAATTACGCATTTTGGTTTTTAGAAAAATATTCACAAATTACTTATAGTCCTTTGAAACCACACTGATAACACGGTCTATGGTTTGTGCACGGGACCTGCAGCAAAATTGATTTTTGAAAATAAAACTGATCTTAAAGTATTGAATGTTAGACTAGTCTTTTTATTAGCCCAACATTTCCTAGCATGATGTCAGACGAAGCTATTATAAATGATATTATACGACGGGAGATCTCGTTTTGTGCAATATACTGAAGTGAAATATTTCCTCACCCTTGAGAAGAAAGAACGTATCAAATACTTAGAAAATTCCAAATACTTAGAAAAGAATGGTGATTTATTTCTTTCACTCGGTTAAATAAAGTGATTTGAATAAAAGTAAAGAAGAAGCGAAAGCTTTTGCGTCCTTCTTCTGTGACTATAATGAAAAATAACACTTACTTCGAAAATTCTGTACAAAGGACTAATAGTGTTGTTATTTCATCATTAATAAATTTGAATAGTCACGGAATTTGATTTTCAGCCATAAAGTATATTTATTGGTTATTTGCTTTTGGTATAATGAAATAAATGTCATGAAGAAGGCTTCTAGGCTTGTACGCTAAATTATGTCTTTTTGTTCTTATTACCGATTTACGCTTCCTTCCTAATAGTAGGGGTCTTAGAGTCTTAAAAATCGCAAGAAGTGATGATCACTTCCATCATTATGAAATCGGGCTCAAAATTACTTAACAATATATGAATAATGACATAAAAAAGTCCCAAAAATCAGCTCAACCGAGAACATAGATTTTTGTTGCCAAATTTTTTTTCGGTTATCGCTGATTATCTCGAAAACTGTTGAGTTCTAAGAAAAAAGTTGATGGAAGAGAACCTGGTGGACAAAATAACTGGCGTCCCTACTATAAACAAAATACAACAATCTTCTGCAGCAAATGTGATAATGTTGACATAAGTCATATCAACTCCTGGAACGAATACACTCAAAGGACGAGGACAAAAATCATAAATAGGAGATAAGTATCATACTGGGGTACAGGGAATATTCCTTATTGAGACATCACACGTGGGAGTACTCGCACAACGAACATCAAGGATGTCTCTACCTAACCTTTATTTGATGGTGATCATCTAACATTAATCCCATGAATTATTTATAAAATATGTACAAGCTCAAAAAGCTTACGTAGTATTATATCATCCGGGATTTCAAAACGAGATGTGGTGAACATCTTAAATTAAATCCTTGACTCAAGACAACCCAAACTCATTGGCCTGTTCACCTTGGTATTGCCTGAAATCTCCGATGTATACCTTAATTCAAAATTGTATTAACTTTACAGGTTAAGACGGGACAATACGCAGTTTTTAGTCTTGCGGTAGCTCTCCACTATAAGGTAAATTAAAAAAATAGTTGTTAAGTATGGGCAAGAGGAGAAACCAATAACAAAATGGAATATTCTATGTGAAGGGCAAGAGGTAAGGGAAAGCTTGGCTATCGTTCAAATCCTAACAACTAATTTCATCAATTAGAAATGTGTATGTGTAAGTAAAAACAGACGACATATATACGTATATGTTAATTTATGTATTAAAAAGGTTATGAATTAAGTTATGATATACATGCATGTACAGTAAACACCTGTTATAATTGTTCACAGGTGGTCTTATGAAATATATATGGGCTGTGAAATAGACTTTTTACCAAGAGTGAAAATTTAAATTTTTGATAGTATAAAACATTCTTTCAAGTTAACTTTTATTTATACTTAAACTATTATAGAACACGTCGTTTCTATTTCAATCGAAAAAACTATGTGAAAAAAAAAAAATAGTAGTTTTCCTACAAGTTTAAAAAGTCTCTGTTTGCGAACCGAGAGGTTTGCAGCCCGAGCCGAAGGCGAGGTCCGTAACGAGGTTCGTAAAGGAAACTTTTCGAACGAGTTCCGGAAAACTGCTTTTTCGCCCGAGGAAGTACCAGCCTCTCAAAACCACCCGATAGCGGAAAAAGATTTTTCTCAATACATGAAACTAATTTATTAAATCAGGTGGGAATCGTGTCACGTATTTCTTAGTTTCAGGCCCAGGTTGTCCCTCGAGAATATTGTTGATAAAATACAAGTAACCTGTGACTTTAGTGTAAATTACTGGTACTCGTGATTCATCACAGTCTACCCAGGTTCTAGTCAGGATTCCAATGATTTCTCCATTCCTAACAAGCGGACTACCACCATCACCCTGAAAAATATTTTAAATTTTGTACAAAACTAACATTATGCTTCTAAAACTCAGATAGAAGTAAAGTTTTCGAAAATCGTAAACTTCACAATCTCTTAAAAATACCGAATTCAAAAGTTTTTTGAGTGGTGTCTCAGCAGAGACGGAATAACTCGTTAACATGCCACCAAAGCGTGGTAACAAACAAAATTTATAAGCATTCCAGCCATCCAAAAAGTATTTATACATATAAAGATTGTTGCAGTGCACAAATTTAATGGACAAGTTTAAACTTCTAAAAAACATGCAAGTGACGATTTTCGAGAAAAATGGATGTTAACGATTTCTAAAGCTTTATTCTAAACTGCTTCATATATTTTAATACTGGCTTAAGATTCTCACGTAACAACTGCCGTAGTGCTGCACACCAGGTTCTGGCATGATGGTGCCGCAAAAAAGTGTACTCATTAATCTTTCTTTCCTGAAACAAACCAACGTCAGACTTTTTCTAAGGACATGAAATTATGGTCTTCACGGCCTTGGTCAACCTATTTATCTCTCCCAGATAAACTACTGCTTCCACGCAAGGAGATTTTATATTACAATAGATTTTAGGCCAGGCTCATCTGCGTTGGACAAATAGGTTGACTACGGTCGTGGCGAGCGTGCGTCCTTAACTCAACTTACTTAATTGTGTCCTTAGGTATCTCACATCTGATTAAAGGAATTACGTTAACCTTCGCATATTTCAATTTTTTATGTGGCCAAATGGGCACTGGTTCAAGCTGGCCACCACGATTCTTCATTTGAATTGAATTGTAACCAAACCCAGAGACGAAAGTATTTCCACCAAAAATGGGTTCGTCTGATTTTGGTAACTTTACAACACCAGCTGTTAGGTGATTGGAAACTGGTGTTTCCAACTAGTAAAATAAATAGTGTATGAAATTTACCAATATTTTTCAAACTTTAATATGAAAATCCTTTTTCTTTTTTATCCGTTTTGTCTTACTTTCAATACAACGATATCGTTTGAATAAAACAAACCGACAGGCGTAACATATTTGTGGATGTAGATTTCTTTTACGCGAATTTTACCACCCTGAGTGTTACTCTCTAAATCATCTGTCCCCAAATGAACCCTTGCGTAAACTGTATTTGGCTCTAGTCCTGTAGATTTGTTCATGCCCACCGTAATGCAACTAGTAGATGTGAGTATGAATTGACGGTGAATGAGTGCACCACCGCATGAAGCGCCACCGTTTTTGTAATTTACTAGTATGAAAACTTGGTACTTGAAACCATTGAGATTTGCGTTTTGGCCGCCTATGATATTCTCAGAATCCAAGCCAGCGACTAAAAAATTAAGATTAACAACGCAACATGAGTCGTATTCAGCTTTGAAGTACTTTGCCTTAAAAATCAGCTTTTATAGAATTTACTCTCGACAAGTTTTCTGATAGATGACGTACCACTTTACCATGTATACACTTTCTGTCAATATCGGTTAAATCGTATGTTTAGTTTTTGATTAAAAAATTTCTAAAAATCGGCTAAATCATGTGTGCATCCTTGTCAAACAACGGGTGTCTTATGTGGAAAGCAGCTTTGGTCTTGTTGCTCAGTTTGGAAGACTGCTAGTAAAAAACTTTTTTTTTTACTAATTAAAAACTTTCTACTTCTGAAAGTGTTATAAATATTTAAGTCAGTTGTAGAGAAAATTCGTACGTTTTCACTTACAAGCGATTGCAGTCATAAAATTACAAACAAGCACAAATAAAGGTTAGCCTCATGATTTTACCAACTCATTTGTATACAAAAGATATAAACTGCTATAGGTATCCAAATAATAACTTTCATAAATCTACAATTTTACTTTATATTAGCTTACCCTTTAATGGTAACTTTACCGTTTTCATAACATGATTTTGCTTAATGGAGCTTACAAAACTTGGCAGCAATAGTTTAATATTTTTTTTTAACACTTAAGATACCAATATTTTCCAAAAGCGTAATGCATAGTATTTGCAGAAAAATATTTTTATGGCTCTTTAGGATGCCTAAAAAAGTGCAATTTATAAAAAAAAAGTAGTTAACTACAAAACATAACAGTGAATATTTATAAGCTTCATTACTTGTCTTTTTCATTTATTTTTTATTATTATTATTATTTTTGATTTTTTTTTTTCTCAATACACAATTATTTTTTGTTGAAAAAACTTTTTTAAACTCGTTAGTAATTAATACATAAACTTTCTTACATAAAACTACGCACAAATTATTCAAAAAATAAGTTTTAGATAAGGTATCCGTAATCATGTTTGTTTATAGAAACGTAAGCAGCAGAGTGTTAGAACTTTTATACATCTTTAACTTAATAAGCTTAAACCCTTGATATTCAACAAAGTTGAATTCTTAAATGTGTTTTGAGTAAGTTATGTTTGAAGTTATTAAAGTAAGCACCAACTTAGAAGTCTAATAAGACTATAGCTGTAACCTTAAGATTAAGTTTTTAATCTAGAAACTTACCCTACCTATAATGTAATTCACACTTAATTAAATGATAGTACAGTTAACAATTCTTGTGAACTCTTGCAGAAAAATAATTAATATTGAATACGTTTAAGGTCATTTACCAATGCTTATGATAGCAGCTGTTACGAATATAGGCAACAGTTGGGCCATCATGATTGCACAGCTTCAAGTTGACTGCAGTGTTAAAAATAACCTACTACCAAGTAAGAAGAAAATTATGAGCTTTTATAACCGAAACGTAGAAGTATACATGTCTAAAGTCTGACTGTGTCTTATACTGTACGCAAATTATTAAAAAGAATAGATATTCATCGAATATTAAAATACGTACATATGTGTAACACCTTTTTTTAAAGATGAGATAAGTTAACTCATATGTGAAGCTCAACCATTTTTGTGACATATGATTATTACGTATCGTTATGGTAGTAAAAGTGAAAAATGTATTAATCAGCTGTGATCTGACATCAGAAAATTATCATTTAAACTACCTTATTTTTAATTGAATCTAGATTTTTCCGTTTTATGGAAACGTCATATGTAAATAGAGTTTTAAAAATTCTTACTTCAACAAGATAGTCAACGATGGAAAAAAATGTAGCTGTAACTCCACAGTACCAGGTGAGCATTATTTTTTCATCGTACATAGGAAAGTAACTAGCAAAAAGGCTCTTAATGCTGTAGGGTATCAAGCTTTAAATACAAGCTAATTAAAATTACATATTAAGAATAAATCATACTACTGTTCTTTTCGATACATATTATGGTTGTTATTTACGTGACTATAAGAATGAGTGTATGATCGTATGTGACAGGCGCGAGTGCAACGATTGAGATTTTATTAGCGTGTAGAAAGTTGTTTTGAAATAATTAAAAGATTCGTTAAAAATGGGTAGTCTCGTACTGGTCACGAGGTAAAGAAATTTGGTTGGCTGGACTATTGAGAATATAAAAATATAGTTAGATATAAGCTAAGTATAGTTCATAGAGGTTAATTGCAGCTATCATTTTTTTGTTAGGTAACCAAAAAATTGGCAGTACATTGCACAACTGAATTTTCGTTGTATTAACCAAATATTTTTTGATGGTACAGCCTTACAGCACATCGTGCCATGGATATTCTATGTACTTTTCTTACCTACATAATATATTTTTTATTCATTTATTGAATATAAAAACACTTATTGAAACGTACTCAATTACCAAATACCCCCTTTTAAGGACAACTGCACAACCTGTAATATAAATTACATGAAATTATTTAAAATGTTATGGTATGAATATTTCATATACATATATTTATTGTCTGCTATACAAGTATAACACCTGGGTCCCTAAGCATACACTAAGTTCTGGTTTTTTAAAGCTACTAAAACGCAGTTAGACACCTACCTATGATACTTTCTTGCATTTTACAGACTACAAAACAGTTTTATTGCGTTGGGAAACCCGAGGCTGCATAGGCCACCTTTTTTTCAATAATTTTTTAATACATAATAACCATTCCAATACAATAAAAAAAACTACTACATATTCTTGAACATCTCATAAATCAAAATAAAAATCTCGTAATGGCACAATATAAAACTTTTTTTTAAAGAAGTAAGGTAAAGGGATAACATGTCAAACAGCTCATCAGCTCAAGATATGGGGCTGAATGAGCCAATGTATTTTATTTAGCCGCCTTGAGTGTGATTACAAATTATTATTCATGTCTCATTTTATCAAGGAAAAGGCTGTAAGGATGAAATAATAAAAAATGAATATTAATAAAATATTCTGGAACAATCGTATAATAATAAATGTTATCTTTTTTTTTAAATGTAAGTATTTACATTTCCTTACAATTAATCAATTATCGATGTAAAATGTTTATCAGAGAAAATTTGCCCAAATCATAGTGGTTTTTTAATATTTACTGATAATGACCAAAACACTTTACGGCATTATAACCTTACCTTAATTTTAAAAACTCCAGATTTTAATTGAACTAAATGATAGAAAAGTGTTTCCATAAGACATCACATAACAGACATAACGACAATATATGGACCTGGCTTGTACACAACTTCACGAATTTAGTTTTTCTATTTTTTCCTTTAATAGTTCGAGCTTTTCTTTTTAACGTTTCATCAGGTATACCATTTTTTTTTTTTTACAAGTCGATATGTCTCTCCAGCTGAAAGTACACTTACTACTTTTTGCAACGCCTCAGCAGACCAGGATTGCCGATTTGTTATTCTTTTGTACGACCTGACCATCACTTTGTTTTTAATTAACAAACCTTACCGCGTCACAACACTGAATATTAAAGCAAGTGTCTGTCAGAGAAAAAGATATAAATCGTATGTTGCTAAGTTTACTTTGTCCCATTTCGCCTCATCTGATTGACCCGTTCAGCCCCCCCCCAACCAATATTTCTCAAATGTTAGATAATATATTTAAAACTATGAACACATATTTTTTTAAAGCATTGCATTAAAATGTAATAGTTGCTTAATTGATATCAAGTTTAATAAATGAGAAAAAGAAATATTTAAAAATTGTATTATTGTTGGAAGTTAGTGAAAACTGTTTTTTTTACTTCTTAAAAATTTCATAAAAAATAGTATTTTTTTACAGCGTTTAATGAACAAACCTCAAAGGCTTATTAACTACTTATGATAATGTACAACAGAAAAAAAACCGATACCTTTGGTGGTGTGATTTTTTAAATAATGATCAAGACCCATTTAACCCAGTAACACACACAGCCCAAGGTTCCCCTACCTTCAGTAATTACTTTCCTTCTATTCCGATTTTTTTTGTTTATTTTTATTTTATTGTTTTTTTACTACGACGCAGTTTATATATCCTCAATGCTTTTGTATTTTATAAAAAAATTAAAATATTTAAAAAATATTGAAAAACAGTTCTGATACTTACCTTAGATTCTCGCTTTCCTTTTAATCATATGTTTTTTTCAAGAATGTTACAACGCAGTCAAAATAGTTAACATTTAATGCTTTGTTACATTTCAATAAGTTTTCACATATTAAAAAACACAAAAAAACATTTGTTTAAGAAACGATTTATTACATAATACTAACAGAAAGTTTTGACACTTTTTCCGATGCTAGTTCAGCTAGAAAGTAATTTTAAATATTACACTGAACCACAAATATAGTATCATCACACTACGTCGATATTAGCTGACCAATAGTTAAGTTTATCTATTTAACGATATTAACATTTACTTAGGTAACTGACCTGTGATTCTCGCACAACTATAAACTGTTTAGTTAAAAAAAAATTCTAAATGAGTTTGAATATTTGTCTCTGATTTTTTTTTTCTTCTGGTATGTATAATTAAAGAACTTCAAAAAACAGTCTTGCAACGTATAGTTTATGCTTGCTTTTCTCTTCCAAAGGATTGTTTTTGAGAATACGACGACGCTATCTTAATAACTGTTTACGTCCAGTGCCACTTCAAATTTGACGGATCAAAGTCGATAATCTCATTCTTACCCATCAAAGTAGCGTTCGGTCTTCGCACGTAAATCTTGCGATTTTGTACATTCTGAAGGTACCTAAAATTGTCGGCTAGTATTCCCTTACCGTCCGACAACAATCGAAACTTGTTCATCTGCTCACGAAAGTAAACCAAATTAATTTTTTAAGTTTTAATTATACATATGCAACTGTTCATAGTGTCATTCATTTACTTGTTTGAAAGAGACAGGTACAGTAGCGGCAAATACAGTCCAGGTGACAACTTCGTTACAAGGTGGGGTTGTCAATGAGCCTTTGTATGTGTAATAGGTATCTACATCCACGGGGAGCAATGTCGATAGCTCGATTGAGTTGTTGAGCCTAGACTCGCTGTTCACATTTTGGACTTCTTTTAGATGGGGTATGAGGAACGACAAGTGGCGATTTTCCTCTTCTTCCAGCTGATTTTAATGAATATTTTAAAAAATTTTGTATGAACACAGAGGGCTATGAACAGTGATTTTCAAGTGTAATGTCCTCGTGGCATTTAATTTTTTCAAAAATTTAATAAGCGACTAAATTTATGCGAAAAATTGAAATTTTGCATCCAAGACACGACTGCCACATTTCTTACCTGAGCAAACAGTATAACCAAATAAGTATTAGTTTTAAAAAAAAATTTTATTCAGCAGTATTAGCACCATTTCATCAATTTCTAGCTATTTTTGTAAATTATTGTTATTCAGACCATATTAATCATATTTTAGATGTGACTATACATTCTAAAATGCGATACAACAGAATCCAAAATTTTCCTCAACTACACGTAAATTTAAAGTACAAGTTATAGCAAAAAAACTAATGTTTCGACATTTTGAAATGTTTTCTTTAATTTTCAGTGCATGAAATAAAAGAATAAAAAATTCATAAGAACATAAAAAGTTTGTATTTTTGTAGATTTACAGCTTAAGCATTCACAATTTTGTGTTATAATATCGACATTACGTTACTATGGTTGCCAAAAACTTATATTCCAATTATTGTTAAATGTTCATTGCCTTTTAGACTGTAATTATAATTTCAAGAAAGTATAAAATACAAGATAGATATACATTCATGACATCTAAATTTTTTTACTATTACCTTACCATTACATTATTTACCATTACGTTACCATTTACACACCATTCATGAATCACACATTTAGTGTAAATATAAACTTTTCGAAATGATTGATTTATATGTCTTCATAAGTGTTGGTTACACAAACTTTGCTCTAGCAAAAATACAAAGCAATTCTGTAAAACAGTTGTGCCTTTAAGTATTTAAGCAATGCACTGTTTTGTTTTGTTTTATTTTGATTTTTGATTGATTTTTCTTTTTGTCATTAAAATTTATTGGAAGATTCCTTGCGTATTCGATTATGAGATATTCTGGATTAAACATTTCCTAGAGAGCGCTAATATATACTTTTTTTATAGTTTTTATTTCACGCTGTTTTATACATTACAAAATTGAATACTAAGTGTTGATCCGACGATTCCTTAACCTCGTCCTTAATTTAATGTGTCTGACGGAATTTTGAATCAAAAGCTAAAATATAACTTTTTATAAAACCGTTATGCATGCTTTAGGTATGTTTTGTATACTGTATATATATATCTGTAAATTAGTATGGTAGCACAACAGTAAAAAATTTCAACGGTGTCAGGCCATTACTTGTGAAAGCGTGTCCTTGTATTTATCTTCTCCTTTTAAATGTTAAAGAAAAGCCAAAAAAAGGAAAATGACTCGATAATGTAGAAACTTTCATTTATTTCTTTGGCATAAATAATTTTTTAAAAATACATTAGTGTTGCTCAGAATCCTCCAATGGTTTTTCTTAAACTCTCGTTTTTATTCATTCTCAAGAAAAATTAGCATTCATAAGACGATTATCACCGCAAGTTAAAAAAAAAGAAAAAAAAAAAATTTAAATATGTGTCTCATTGAAAAAGTTATTGCCCAGGAATAGGCTGAAATACGTTTTATTCTTATTTTTTTTCCATTGTTCGTGAATTTTTTCGTTTATTATGTCATACGTGGATTGATATTATTTTGATGACTAAAATTTTGTCCTTCACTCAATAAATTCGTCAGGCACAGAGAAAATTCATAAGTATACAATTGTTCTATCTTAGCATGTGAGGTATGTTGTAAAAGTGTAAAAGAAGTGGTGAAACTATTTATAAAAAATATATAATAATAAATAAATACGTAAATATTTAATATACAAGTGAACTGTCTAGAGAAGAGATTTTAACATTTCAAGCTATCTAATAATAATTAAAAGAATTTTTTGGAAAATACTAAATCAGTACGTTTTGTAGAGTCAAATTTTTAAAATAACAAACAAATTTAATATAAACAGTACTGTACATCAGTGATATAATACTACGTAAGCTTCTTGAGCTTGTACATATTTTATAAATAATTCATGAGATTAATGTTAGATGATCACCATCAAATAAAGGTTAGGTAGAGACATCCTTGATGTTCGTTGTGCGAGTACTCCCACGTGTGATGTTTCAATAAGGAATATTCCCTGTACCCCAGTACGNTTTTTTTTTTTTTTTTTTGTTTTAATAAAATAATTTATTTCAACTTGTTTCGTCTGTAACTGATGTCTGTAATTTTTAACTTGAAAAAAAAGAAAAAAACCAAAACCTATTTTACGAGGTTAAATAAATCACGATGCAAAAATGCTGATGTTAATAACAAACTTAAGTTTGGCTGTTGTGAGAAAATTTAAAAAAAAACTTATGTTCACCCTCCTTGTCCCATGTAACACGTGTTCCGAACCTCTGCCGTTTTTCAGGCCCCAGTGAAAATGCAAACTCTCCAGCTCGAACTTGTCATTTTCCTTCAGTAAAACACCAAAAATGTACGGTGTACGTTTTCTTATCGATTCATCCTTAATTTTTAATACGACTATAATAGATAAGAAAATTTTGATTAAAATAAAAAAAAAAAGATTTGATTACCATAAGTATTGTCATCTCATCAAACTGAGGGTGAGAAAGCAAAGTCAATTAGTTGATTACTTACCCGTGTGTCCATTATTCCTCAGTGTAAATGGGGGTTGTAGATAATCATGGTAACCAATCATCTCCAGAGCTGGAAGTGGCAAGGCTACAGACCGACTCGCAGCTATTGGTATCGGTGATTGTAAGCCCCCTGCGCATAGCGGGTAATTTCTGACCCAGCGATCCTGACCTGAAAGTCACTTAAAATGTTGAGACCCTTTCACTTTCATCGTAATATTAATTCTTTCATACAAACCAATGTAAAATAACCATAAAAGTCACCTGGCTGAGAGTAATCGAAGTATGACCCTGGCTTGGCGTGATCTGAGGGATTGTAAATACATAAAACACTTTCTTTGAAAATACAATGTAAAAAATAATCCTAATCAATTTACATGACACTAACGTGTATGTACCTAATAAAAAACTGTTCATCACGAGAAAAACTATTAACGTTAATCTCATGTTTTTTGTCACTTGTTGTCTGCCTCCTTTCATACGAACTTGTGTACCTGTAATGCCTATAAAATTTTTTTCACGGATAACCTTAACTTTGAGCAACCCACGATCGACTCTTTCACTTGAAAGAAATTAGTCGTAAGAAAAGGCCTTTACGACAATTGAAACGTTTGTTATGTAATTTGGTAACTTTAGTTGTCGTTTCGATTGAAAAACAGTGGTGTCTACTTTGCGTCACGATTGCGCTACGCAGAATAAAGCATAAGAGTAAAGCTATGCCCCACGAAACACTTGTGGCTCGTGTGCGTGTCACGTCCTCTGTTTCTGCTCTCAGTTTCCTATGAGCGTTAATAATGGGTCATTAGATTTATCTTTTGNCAAATAAGTCTTTAACTAACTGCACGTAAGTCATTGTAACACAATTTTTTTTTTTTTATGTTCATCATCGCCCAAAGGCTCAGACATGGCTTTTGACACATATATAGTGTACTTAGGCATACAGTAAAATATTGTAACAACTTTATTAAGAAACGAAACGTTTAACTGTAGAAGGATCTGTAGGTTGTTTGAGAGGCTCAACTCCCATGCCGAAAAAATTCTAATTTATTAATGAAAATTTTGTCATAAATGGCATTTGAACCCCAGCCATTAAGATCTGTGAGCAGGCACGCTACTCATAGAGCTATCAGATGCCTGATCACATATATTTATATATAAATTTACAATTATTTTTTTTCCAAACGTTATTTTAATTGTTTGCTAAAAAACAGTATAAATCCGGGCTGGCAAGTTATACAGATTTATTAACTTTCTAAAACATTGACATTTTTGCTTTTATAGTGAATATAAAACATTAGGCTTGACTATTTGTTATTCAGTACCTTAAAAGTATGATAAAAATTAATACATACCTTATTCAAGTATTATAATATTTGTAATGTCAAAAACTTGACTATTTCTTTTATATCTCATTACTTTCTAAATCTTCCATTTCGTTTTGTAAAATTTTTAATGCACTAAGATATTTTCATAAAGATATTCATTTTAATACTGAATAATTTTGAGTAAATTATTACTCTTTGATGTATCAATAAACTTGCCTAATTTAAACTGATCTCATTACTTTTCAGACGTTTAATTATTTTGTGAAAAAATTTTTATTTGATTACATAATTTAATTAAGATATTCATTCTAGTGATGAATAATTTCATGTTTATAATAACTCTTTGACGTGGCAACAAAATTGACTATTTTTTGTTGATCTTGTTACTTTTTAAATATTTTATTTCGCCAAATATTTTTAAATAAGCGTTTTTTATTATTAGTAACAATATAAATAAAATTAATATTAAAACGAAACAAATGTGATCAAACAAGTATTAAAAAAACTAGCATTTTTATTTAATTACATATTGTAATTAAGATATTCATTCTAGTGATGAATAATTTCATGTTTATAATAACTTTTTGACATGGCAACAAAATTGACTATTTTTTGTTGATCTTGTTACTTTTTAAATATTTTATTTCGCCAAACATTTGCAAATAAGTAGCATTAGAAACATGTTAACTGAAACACTTGGAGATATTGTAGTCTTTGTTAAGAAAATAACTTTTGTTTCACTGTATAACGTTATTAGTTTTGTAAACATGATTATTTTGGATGTATTTGAAACACATTAAACTCGCCTAACCTTTTACTTTATATAAAAGTTAGTTTTTTTATGGGGATTTCAGTTATTTTTTGTAAATTTTGTAAGACAATCTATTATGTAAAAAATTGAATATTAAAGTTTGTAGCAATGATTGATTATTACTATTTTTTTTTAATAATATTTTTATTAATAATATTTTAAAGTCGTGATTATTTTTCAATCGATTTAAAACACGTCCAACTAGCGTAACACTTTATTTCACATGAAAATAATTTGTTTATGGAGATTTTAGTTTTTTTTTTTAATTTTTTAATGCAATCTATTATTTTAAAAATTGAATATAAGGGTTTAAACCATTTGTTGATTATTGCATGATTTTTTAATAGAAATTTTTTAAATGACCTACATGAGCGTACTGATTTTGTTGACGTAAATTGTTCTTGAAGTGTACAGATTCGAGAATCCTCTGGCAAAGAAAGAGTAACAATATAATTAGATGTCTCACTATGGTGTCGTTCGTCGCAACCAGGACACCTGATTGTTACACTTTGTTCGTTTTTTAGAACATTTTTCAATATAAGTGATTTATTACACAGACTTAATAAAAACTCAGCGGCATCTTGCTGCTTACTTGTTGTGTATTCTTCTTCAGCAAACTCTCTGAATAGTCGTATGTTGATATTAGTTTTATTTATATATTGTTAAAATAATAATTTGAGTGTATTTGTTTCACGATGCTGCAACAGATCTTCTAATAGTCATAGAATGAAATAAACTTTGTGCACAAGAATTAGCGTAGCAAAAAAACTCCATCATTGTTTGGTAAACCAAAAATATCTGACGTATCACTAGAAATGTGATTTAAATAACTTTCCACGTCTGTTAATGCCGTATTCCGATTTATTGATCACCGCGTATCATGCACTTTCAAGATATTTTTTACGATCTGGTGGTATATCGAATTTATTTAAATCTGGGCAATATTCTGCCCGCAGTCTGTTATATTTAAGAATAGCTGAAATATTTGCAGTGCAAGCTCAGGGATCGAAATTAATAAGATGCAAACCTTGTAACGTAGTAACTCTTGAAGCTGAATCTTTCTGAGCAATATTGCGCAGAAAGATGCACATTTGCACTGTATGTATAATATTCTGCGCAATATTGATTTCTACGCTCTTTAAGAAAATCTGCTAAGATATTGATTTCTACTCACCAAGGAAATTAGCCCAAGTGCGACTAACTTTAAGGTCTATCCATGCAATAGATTCCTGAAACTCACTATTGTGTTAGTATAATATATATTTGGATGTATACATTAATATTTAATAATCAGGAATTTGTGAATATTGTATGCATAAATATGTATACATACTTTAATGATACTTTACAGAGCTTTAAGACCCTAAGAACGAGTTGACTATACGTTGACACAGTAAATTGATAGTATCGATATCTTTGTAGCCAGTATGCGGCCAACTTAACGGTCTAGTCATGGCAAACTGAGCAAGGAGAAAGAAAAAGATATTTTGGTAATTTTGTTTAACCATGCATCTTACTATCATGTTTTAATAGTTTACCCACAAATTTTATTGTTGAGAATCATAGTTGAACATACAAAATGTAATATTGCATCGAAAAATTTCTAGTAATATAATGATGAGTATTTTTTTTATTTATTGATAATTCGGTATTCGAATATAGAAGTAAATAGTGTACGCGGTAGCCACGGCATTGTCATCGTCAGCTTCTGAAACTCGCCTTCGTGGCGCGACCGCGCCACTTAATTAATAAATACCAAGCCATCTTTGCTTGCCAAAAAAAAATGAGGTATCGTAAAGGTAGTAAAAGAGGTATCGTACATAAATCAGACAAACATTTATTCTTATTTAAGTAATAACATTTTTACACAGTTCTATTTCACCCTTTCACATACGCACGCACTTATATACATAGATGAATTAGTTACTTTAACATTCCTAAAAAAATAAAACTTTACAGTATTTACAATAATTTTAAACAAACACTTTTGAATTTACAATGTCACTTTTCCTTAGTAGCTTTTATTCTTTTTTTAATCTTTAGCCCTTAGTTTAGCTATTCTTATAGAGTAATCTACATATTTACATCGATAATCTACTAGTTTCCGTTAAGATTTTAACAGTTCCCTTCTGTATACTGGTATGCTCCTATGTGCTCGTAAATAATCAAGATCTATGAAAACTATCGTAATCAAATCGTATCATCAATACCAAATTCTACTTTTGTCAAATCTTTATTAGGATTTAGTATACTTGAGAGCCTTGAATGTTCACCACAAGGAATAAGGATAAGGTATATGAATGGCATTAATGTTGGAAAACCTTAAAAAAGTATTTTCTGTCAGCTTTCAAAGCTATTACCTTATTGGCACTTTAGTAAGTTTTAAACTCCAATAACTTGTGTCAGATGCCATACGAAAAGCTCTAAATTGAAATAATGCTATGGTTTGTAAATTTTAATATGTACATTGAAAAATCATTAAGTGAGCCGTAACATTTATAAGTACTTGAGAAATAATGAAAGACTCTTTGAAAAAATAACTATAAAAAGTTATTGTTAAACATGGAATGATTTTTAAAAAATTGCGTTTTTTTTATAGATAATTGAGGCAATACTGCAGTGCTGTTTTATTAAATCAAGTCAAATTATTAAAATAATTATTTCCAAAAAATAACCACCTAAAATAATAGAAAAAAGAAAATGTAAATGGACAATGGGACTAATATAAATTATTGAATTTTCATTCACCAATATGAATAAGTTAGTAACTAAAACTTAGTTAACGGGAATTCTACCAATATTAATTTAAATTGTATATAGCTTAAAGATAAGCTCGAAAAGATGTAATAAGAAATTTATACAACTGGTAATGAAATTTGGCCTACGATCTGGAACCATGTCTGTTAACCTGGAGAGAGAAGGACAGGTCTCTAATGCTTCTACTTTATGTGAATGGCAAATTAATTGCTAGTAGAAATATTTAAAAGTTAGAAAAAATAAAGTAGAAGTCAGTGTGCCATTTTGACATGACTGACATGAAAGAGCCAAGAACCTTTCTAGAAACAAAGATGAAGCGAGACAAATGAAATCACATAATAGTACTTCATAAGAATACATAATAATACCTTATAAGAATAATATAAGCACTTTGGAAATAGTAAGATGCATCTCCAGAAAATACCCTTGGTCAGAGAGTTAGTTAGATCCCTTTTATACTTAACAAACACAGTTTGCCCCGATTAAGTATACTCTGTAAATGTCTCAAAAAAACATCAAGTCAGTCCCAATGCGAATGAGTCAAAAATGACAAAACTAATCTACAGATATCTAAAGCATACATGAAAATTGGTAATCCAGTTTAAAGGAAAGCTAGATAATCTGCAAAGGCTCTACAGACTGCAAAGGCTCACTGACAACGAGCGGCTTTGTAATAGAACTAACTGATGACGCTGTTACTTGGAGGACCAGAAAACAGTCGAACACACTTTTATCAGCGTGTCAGGATGAGTAAGTAGTTATAAGCGATTCATGT